CTATCCTCCTCTCCCTCCTCCACCATGCAATCACACCTTACGCTCACGCGGCCAGATGGCACGACCCATTCTCCAGCCAAGAGCGCAGACGGCCACAGTTCCCAGACCACGGCCAGTCAGGCCGCGTGACTCCAGCCGCAGCTCAGGGCACACGGATCCCCCTCTCTCACTCCCTCCCCTCCGCATTTTCGGACTGTTTGCGCTTTGTTGCTGATTCATATCTTTCAAAACTGGGCTTCCGGACGAATGCGAAAACATAGGCTAATGCGATTAACATTCTGGTGCTCGCACGTCCTTTACTATACCTACCTTCTAAAATAAGTAGCACATGTTTCTGGCTATTTTCTTCTCTCTCCCAAATTTCGACCACGACATTTCATGAGTTAGACCACCGACTGTAGTTGCGCACACACAGATGCCGTTAATGCCAGTCGCTCATTGAGTACGGGTCTACTTTGGTGTTCTCAGTGACTCATTGAATAGAACCCTGCGCAGTTCCTTCGGAGTCTGCTGCAGCTTAGCAAACGCCGACAGCCACATGACACTGTCAGTGTTGCACATTTCTGAGTCTACGTATTGGTCATTTTTCGCACGCTAACCTGTACAACCTCGACTTTCACCATATCTCATTTACTGATGGCCTAACAGTCCACTTTCAGCCGGCGTTACGATAGGTCAATCTAACCAAAGGAACTTCAAAACAATGGATACATAGTGCATTCAGCCTCTCTTCATAATCTTTGAAAGGACAACTTCGGCTGCCTTTGGCGTTCTTTGGAGTTACTATAAAACGTGTTTAAATCGACCATGCCCAAGTTTTATGTTAAAATTTTTGCAACTCCATTGTTAATGGGCGTACACACAGAAGCTAGCACATTAAAATTACCAAATTTCTGAAGTTTGCTTCGGAAGGTGCTAAGTATGGTATTCCTTGTATACTGGCATCAAATTAAATTATTGAATTAAATTATTTTTCCTCAATTTACTTCAAGGCGCAACCATTTTTCAGTCATGAAACCCTCGTTTTTTGTAACTCATATGAGGCCCGTTATGGGTACTCGGGTCCAAACAAAGTATAAAACGACATAGGAATCCAAATAAGGCAGTGAATTACTTAAAAGATATTAATGCAGATTACGTGAATATGCTCCTTTCTTAGGCGTGGAGGAAGTTATTGTATGCTCCCTTAACATCATTCAAGATCTACCCTGCACACTTTTATCCAGGTTGCCTACATGTGTTTGTCCTACACAGGCGCATAGTTGCCCAACAATGAACAAAGCCGTTTTGTCGGCAAAGTATCCAGCACAATTATTGAAGGCTTTGACTAAGGCCGTTTAAAGGACGTTGACTGCACTTTGACGCGCTGTGTGATGATAGTTCGATCATCTCATCCAACTATGTCCACCGCGGACTCAACAGCGAGGTAAGAGCAGGCACGGAGACTTCCGCGTGAATGTGTAGACTTGCGAAGCGTCCAACGCACTCTCTCCTTCTCCCTTACCTAGGGCCGATGCCAAGACATGGTCAAGAAGACCCCAGGCGGGGGGGGGGCTCAGGTGGATAGCGGCCGAACTCGCGTCTGGGCGCTCCACTTCACACTCCCTAGTACACGACAAACACTTGGCCAGGGTTTTGACTAACAACAACAACAACAACAACAAAAACAACAACATCAACAGAAAAGACGTCTATGACTGGGCAGCCATGCACATGACCTGTATACCCAGTGGGAGTGCAAACGCATCTATCGCCAGAGAACCGCTACCAGAGGACGGCCAGCGCACGCCAGGTTGTGAGGGCCATGGTTTATTGAGCATGGCATAACAGACGCTCACACACCTTGGGGTCCAAAAGGGTGACATACAGCCCTGCATTTGCCTGGGCCATCACCCTCCAAGGGCTGGGCAACCAGTAAGTCAGTGATTGAAAGAAACTACTCATCTAGTAACACACATTCTTTACATGTGTGAGAGTGCTACAGGTCACTTTAAGAAAGAGCCGTGACGGCCTGGCTCTCAGCCCACCAGTCCGCCACTCCACACAAACACACACAGCTGGGTAGACTGTGTGGAATGAGTTGAGGCCTCAGTCGGCAGCCTCCCAAGCCACGGCGTTTGGCGCGCCGTGATAGTCTCAGACTCGGGTCACACATGCACTAGAGGAGCCACATGAGAGGGAGCCGAGAAGCACGCTTCGCGCTTGCGTGGGAGGTGGCAATTGAGTGCTTGCAGTGCTGATATTGCTGCATGATGCGGATGCTGGTGTGGATGTTTAATGCAGCCGGCGGCTGTCCGCTGGTGGTTTTCGTACATTCGTATGTGACCTAATAAGCCCGTTAGGCGAGTGAATGTGCGGTGAAATGAGGGCAGTTGAGGCGGAAGTGGTGAGTGTAGGTGGGTGATCCAGGCACTGGTTCGCCAGTCCCCGTACGATGGATTCACAAGCGACCGACCAGGCCGATGTGTGGGGTGGATGTGTGATCGCACTGGGGACAGATATGAATCGAGTTCACATCGCTAGAGGTTGGAGTGTTGGTGTCGATGGGACATCAGACGTCGTCCCATCGGTGGGGGAAGTGCGTGAAGACGTGGTGCTGATGCTGGTCGCTGCAGTCGATGCAGGGGTTGGGGCAGGGCAGATGGTGGTGGTGGTGGTGGCGGCGGCGGCGGTGGGGCAGCGACAGTGTGATCGATGGTCACAGCGGTGGCGGTCAGCGCGGGGTGTGCGGCAGGGGCGAGAGTGAGAGAAGAGGTAGGCGTTGTCGGTTTGATGGCGCAATGGGTCCTACGGTGTCCAACGAGACCGATTCGTGCACGGTATGCGGGTTGGAAATAGCTCCTAG